TCAACAAAAGGTTAAGAATAAAGAATGAAAAGAAAGCAAAGAAAAGGAATTAGGAAAATTTCCTACCGGCAAGAAAATAAAAGTCGATGGCAAGGATGAGGAAGAAAAAATTTGCAACTGAATACTCCACTTTTTATTTACTTTTCATGATTATAATGACCGACAAGATTTAGATTCTTTTACTAGTGCTGATCAGATTCGGGCTTATGATTTTGGGGATGCTTTTAATACTCGGGAGGCTATTTGGGGCATTTACGACCAGATTGGGCAGGAAGTAACAGTTATAAATGCGACTAAAAATGTTAACGCCGAAATTGCCCAGGATATTCGGGGAATTAAAAATTTGATGTTGGAAGTAAATGATGTGCAAAACCAATTTCGGGAAGTTCAAAACAAAGTCAATGAAATTAACGATGCGATGGAGAGAATGAGGCAAGGTTTTAATGATAATTTAAGAATTCTCCAGAGCAATATTGAGCGGGTCGGAGCTCAAGGGGCCAGTAGCGGCGAAATAGCAGTAATCAAAAGTCGCCTAGCCACTTTGGAAGGCAAAATTAGTTCTGGTAATTACGGTAGTGGTAGTTCCACTAGCAGTAGTTCTAATGCCGGAGAAATAAAAGTAAGGTTAAACTCTCTTTTAGAAGAATTAAGGGGCAATCTGTCTAGTTTAAGTTCTACCGAAATCTTTAACAAATTTATTAATTTTTACAATAAGGAAATTTAAAAATAATGGTCAATGTTGCAAAAAAAAAAAAAAAAAAAAAAAACAGAATACTTATTAAACACTAAACAAGTTGGAGAAGCGTTAGAGTTATTAACTAGTTTAGAAAATAATAGTGTGGATTTAGTTTTTTTTGATCCTCAGTATGAAAAAGTAAGTAATGTTCTTCATACTAATTATCCCTTATATCCGCAAAGTGATTACCAAATTATGAGGATAATAGAGCAAGCGGGAAGAATATTAAAACCCTCCTCTTTTTGTTTATTATGGATAAATAAAGGTTTGTTAGGGAGCGATAGGATTGCGGCTTGAATGATTAAGGCTCCTAATTTGAAAATAGTAGATTGCCTTGTTTGGTATAAAAAGAATACTTTGGGACTGGGGACCTGACTCAGGAGTAATGCTGAATTTTGCTTCTTATTGCAAAAATATCCTACTACGGGCAAGAGGTTTACTAATAGGAGTTTTGGTACGGTATGAGAGGAGAATCAATTAGCCGTTAGCCAAAAAAAGCATCCTCATCAGAAGCCGAGGGAGTTAGTAAAAGCATTAATTGGAGCAACTACTAACGAGGGAGATTTAGTGGTGGATCCGTGTGCTGGTTCCTTTATCGTGCTGGAAGTTTGTCAAGAACTAAACAGGAATTATTTGGGGTGTGATTTGACTTGGCGAGAAGTGAGGGAGTTTTTAGAAAAGAAAAATTTTTAAGACTCTAGGATTTTTTTTTGCAAACCCTGTCGATGGCTGGCAGAATTAGAAAAAGTTTTTAATTCCTGGGTATCATGGACAAAAAGTGTGTCTTGATTTGCTAAGGTTATTTTTTGAAATTGGCTAATATGGTATTTTTTTCTTTCAATTAATAATTTATCCGGTAATTCCCCTTTCACATATATACAATCACTCCTAATCGCTAAAACTTGCTCCGGTTTAAATTGCCGATATAAATAATAGGTTTGTAAAATAGCTAAATGATTTACGGCTAAATGGAAGGGGTGATAAACATATCCAATTCTTTGATTGCGACCTAAAACTCCATACAAAACGTTAGTTAATTTTTTACCTTTTTTTTCATCTTGCAATTTTAACTCTTGGCAATAATCTAAATAAGGATTAACACAACCTTTTTTCTTGGCAAACATCCAAAAATCAGTATAAACAATTTTGCCTCGAATTTTATATTGTTTTTGAAAGGTGCGAAATAATTTGCTATACAAAACAAAACAGCCGCGTAGGTTAGCCTTGATTTCATTATGATAGTCAGGTAAAAAAGGAATTTGCTGATTTTTAATCGTGGCCGTTTGTCTTAAATAAAAGCGAACAAAACCTTCTTGATCCTCCTTTATTTTTGCTCGATTAGTTGCGGATCAGTTAAACGTTCCTCGGAGCCGCATGGTAAAGGATAATCTCGCATGATATTAGCATAACAAGATTTAATGTCTATTTTAGTAATATTAGTAAAAGTTCCTTGTTGGAGGTTTTCAAAGCGGGGAGGAAATTTTCAATTATTAACGGCTAAAAAAAATCCGTGCTGGTGCTGGGGTGAGTTTTGGTAAATTCCGGGACTAACTTATGTAGCAATTTTAAAGCTTGGCTTCCTCCACTATCGGGATTTTCTTGGTTAGCCCCCCTCTTCTCCTTGATTTCTGCTTGCCCGATTTTAATTATACGACTTTCTTCATCAATATCGGTTGTTGCTAAATTAGTTTCTAAACTAACTTTTAATCAGTCATTAGTAGAGCAGTAGACCTGTAAAGGATAATTACCAATTTCCGTTCAGGGAATAGGACTTAGACCTAAACTGTTGGGTTCAATCATTTTTTTTTCTCAATTTAGTCAGTAAATTATTTTTTTTGTCATTGCTTATTATTTCTTGCGGGGTTTAGAAGATTTGGACTTGCGGGGTTTGCTAAAACGGCCAATATGACAAGTTCCCCAATCTTGTCCGGCCGTCAAAGTGCGGCGTCCTTGTCAGGAAAAGTGGTACTGTAAATTGGCATCTCCATGATTGCGGGTTCCGCACTGTTTTTTTTTATAAGTATAGAGCCAAGGGCAATGCTGAGGCAAGGAGGGAGGATGATATTCTCCGTAAAGAACACAATCTAGACAGAATTCATTACTACTGCCTTGGGCCTCTTGGCAAGAATACCCATAAACCATTTCAATTCAACATAAAGCAGGGTTTTTTTTTTGCCGTCAAATTTGTTTTTCTAATTCAGTTCCATGGGCTTCGATATACTGTTTCTGAGCCACTTCATGCACCCTTTTTTTCACCTGCTCCTCCCAAGTAGGAACATTTTTATAAACTGTCCAACTCCTCCCGGGCTTATCACTATCTATGGCTATTCATTGCCCCGGTTTTAAACGGGGATTGCCATATCTATCTAACTCAATTTCTTCCTCCAGCACCACTTCCCCTTCCCTCTCTAACGAGTTCTGTCAAGCACTAATAGCCCGATAATAATATTTTCTAGTAGCAACAAAAGGATTATTATCCACATATTGCTTTCTTAGTTGGCTAGCATCCCCATGGTGGATAAGAGGGCCTGAGGGGATTAAGAATCTATCTCTCAATCGTCAAGGACTCTTCAAATAAAGTTCCCTAGATAATTCACTAACTCTGGCTCTACCAGAATCCCTAGGTTCTAAAGTTAAAATCTCTTCTCAATATTTTTTAAACTCTTTTTTTTTCTTATAAAAATCTTTATGCTCTCCTTTTTCCGGAAAAAATAATTTAATCTTTTGCCCTTTTTTTAAAAGTGTGTTGCCTTTAACTTTAGTTAAACCTGCTTTCTCTTGTCAGTAGCGGATTTGATTACTTTGGCTAGTAAGTTCTTCCTGATAAGCCCGATTAGTCTCTCTAAGTAAGTAATTACTTCCTTGTTTGTTTAAACGATAGGAGGTGTATTTAGCACCAAATTCTTTTCAGGGATTGTA